GCGCTGAGAGCCACTGATGGGTGCACACATAGAAGTTTACTGACATGTCAATAAAAACTGTTTGAGTTGGGCTACAAGATGTTGAAGACTGCTTGGTTGTATTTCCTTTGTTAGTTAATTACTAAATTTTACAATTGGAAAGATAATTTTGTACCACTCTTATTACAAAAGAACAATTATATATGAAAATATTTACTGGATAATGTGATTTAATTTTCACTGTAGAATATCATTATATTGATGAGTAGATGATATTAAAGTGTTTCTGCTTTTAATTTGAAAATTTAGTTTTCGTTTTGTTTTTTTTTCAAAATTTTATACTTGTCTTATTTACTACTATTTTATCCTAATATATTCATAATTAAGCAAACTATGTTGAGATATAATGTCATATTATTTGAAAATTTTCAGTTAAAAAACTCTGTAAGAATATAATTCTAATCTTTATCATGATTTTTCCAATTTATAAAAGCTAACCCCAACTAGTTAAACCTGAATTTTCTTGTTTTCTAATCGGTATCTTGAAAATTTTAAACTGCAATAATTTTTATGACATAGTGTAAGGAAAATTGACTTTCTTAGGTGACTGCTTCTGTTACTATTAGTATGTAGTGCTTTTATCAAAACAAATTATGAAGTTTGGATATGGGTCCAGAATATTTTTGGTTTTGAAAAGCAACATGTTATAATGTGAGGCTAATTTTTCAATTTTGTCCAACCTCACACTGTTTTGTTTGCACCTTTTGCAATAATTTAAAAATTGCGGAAATTCATTTGTACTGTATGTGTCAAATAGAGAAACGTAATAATGTTGACTTAAATCAATAACTCTATAACTCAGTGTTAGGGAACTATTAAACATATGGTACAAAATTACATAAAGCATTCAAATGGAAAAAAAAAAGAAAAACATTAATAGTTAAGATCTACAGGCTCATGATGCTGATAAAAGCATCAAATATTCAATGGTTGAAACGTCAGTTCAAGTACAATGGAGTTTTTATGTCTTAACCTCTTCCGTGGAAGTGAGCTCAAAAATGTCATTGTTTTTTATTTCAATAGCCTAACCTTATATATTAATGAAACAAAAGTTCTTTTATGGTGTTGTTATATTTCTGCACAAAATATACTTGTTAAATAAATATTACATATCTGGATTTATACTTGACCTAAATATTATTTCAATAAAACTACAATAAAGAATTGGAATATTTTTCTGCAGTTTTTATGATACATAATTCAGAAAAAAATCCAATAGAGATCAGCACAAACAGAATTTCTAGTGCCGTCCAGTGAGTACTGACTGTAATACATTATAGCATGCAAATAAATTAAAAATATGGTGAGAAATAGTTTGCCTGAATTAACTTGAGTAAATACTTTTTTTGAAGTGTGAAGGGTGCCTGAGTTATCTCACACAAACTATGGAAGGTGTTATCTAGGAGGCTGTTGGAAGACTTTGTTTTGGTTTTTTTTTTCATTTTTCAGTCTACAGTATTTTATTCTATTAAATGTATCAGAGCACAATAAGTAGAAGATATGCAGTGTCATACTACTTTTGAGCTCTGATTTTCCAGTGAAGACTCGGGAAACTCGTTTTTAAAATTTACTAGTAAATAATTTTCTTCTTACAAAAACAAAGGTAAAGAAAAAGCTTTATTTTTATCTGGCATTTCCCATTTGAATTTAGATTTTTCTCAATGTATACTTAACAAAGTCATTCTTAAAATGTACTGGTGGAATACTGGGCTGGAATTTAACATCAGTTTTATGGTAGGTAGAGGGACTAGTAGAGTGAAAAATGACTAGCTTTATCATATTTTTTTACAATCCCTTCACGATTAAATTCTTCAAAATGGTACATACAGTGCTAAACAGATAAGACCTAAGATGATATGTCTTACTGATATATGTTTCTTACTTGATGATAGTTTTCATTAAAATTACGTTCAATCTATAAAAAACATGACTTTAAGTAATGGAGGATGTTTGATTCTAAAAAATATAGAAGACATTTGTGCTTCCAAACAACATATATTATGTTTAAAAAATAATTTTACTGAAGATTAGTCTTGCTAAGTTGATAAACTGATAGCAGTAGCTAAAATCAAACTGGTATATTTACATGTTTTACACTCACTAAAAAGAAACCTATCATTCTATAGGTATTTGAAGA